ACTGCAAGCCAGCCACCAAGCTCAGAGCACACCAAGGACTCCACAGTCCAACCCTGAGCTACAGAGATTCTCTTCTCTTAGAGATAAGTATACTGTAAATTTGCTTAACACAAGACAGGTGAAACAGTTTTGGAGCAGGTTTGGTTCATTCATTGTGTTAAACTGTAAAGTTTGGCTTGGACTTCCTGTATTTTGGGAAGCCAGCTATCTTCATCTGTAGTCCTAGTTTACTGCTAAATAGTGGTTTACCAGTCTGCCATGGTTAAAACAGGGTTTGGCAGTGTATGGACTCAATCACTCTTTATGTGGGATATGATCAAAGCATAAAGCCGGTTCATGACATTCAAAATATAAACCACCTTGCTGCTGTACTTAACACCAACCAATTTTGTTGGGCCCAGTAGTTAAGCAGGGTTAAGCCTGGTTAGTACTTGGATGGGGACCAGGAGGGGATAGCGGGGCTGTAGACTAGCCTGGGAAGTCCAGAACACCACCTGGAAGATGCAGTAGCAAACCACTCCTGTATGGTTGCTCTGAAAAGGCCTGTGTCCTGAAATCACCAGGACTAGAGAGCTCAGCTGGAGGGCATTTTTTATGTTGTCTTTTTCACCTGGTAGAATTTAAATGAAGAATAACAGGGTGAAAAGTCTCCTGTTCTGAGTATTACTTTACCCAAGTAATAATAGAGTATTTGGTAGTTTATGTAATACAGCTTTTCTAAGTCTTGACACCTCCAGATATTTGAACTCATCTCTCCAGATTCTCAGCAAATGGCCGTGCTGGCTGGGGGATTTTGGGAGTTAAGTCCAAACACATGGAGGGGACCAGGGAGGTATCTTTCCCAACCTGGTGCCCTCCTGATATGTTGGGCCTAAAACTCCCAAGTTAGGACAGGTTAGTGCCAGACTTAGTATATTTTACATCTGCTTTGCTGCAGTTAAGTAAATCATGCTTAAGTTGATCATGTCATGCACACGCAGGCAGAGTTTGTAATAGCAGTTTTCTCTTGTTCTGGGTTATTTTAGATCTTAGCTATGGGTAAGTATGGTGTCCTTGGGGTTTGGCCTGGACTGAAAGGCAACATATTTAAAAACAAACATTCAACACTTGAAAGTAAAAACTCTGGTTGAACACGTGCTTGGTAGCTCACGGCTTGTAGCCTTTTTTTCCCTTGGAGCCCCATTGACTATTTTGAGATGGAATGATTCTCAGGGAAGACTTACAGATGTTCTGACGTAAGCCATTTAGGGAATACTACGGAGTATCAAAGATACTTGACCCACTGTCTCACCAGTTTGAAATAGCTGAGTGGATCTGCCTATTTTGGCTGGAGGTGACCCAAAACTATTTGTTGAATGAATGTAACTTCTGTGCAAGATCTGAACTGGTAGGTTTGGATGAATTTGCTATCAAGCCAAAGAATCACGCTATTCTTAATCTTTGTTCCTGTGTATTTCAGTGCTTTTAAGACAAGGAAACACATTAATGACATTCCAGACTTAGTTACTTGATTTGAAGGATTTTCTTATGTTATTAAGCATGAATAACTCTGGTGATTCAGAATAAATATGTAACTTGCACATAGCTCTACTCTGCTTCAAGAAAATATAAGTGGTTCACACTGTTTTAAAGTTTTAATTTATTTATATTTCAAATTTAGATACACCCATCTCACAAAAAGTGACTGGGCAGTTACTTAGAAGGAATATCTACTTTTTTAGGTTTATGCCTGTCAGATTCATCATATGGCAGTCAGAAATGCTTGTGTTTCCTTCATGAGGAAAAATCAGTTGAATTTTGAGTCTGTGAGTATGTTTTTAAGCATGTATGTATAAACCTATCCAACACTTAATTTGTAAATTTTTAATTTTGAAACAAGGGATTTAAATGGGGAATTGAATTGAATCATGGTTTTTATTTCATAGCGATTTCTTTCTTATGAACTGCTCAGAGTTGTTGAGTCAGACCGCGTACAAGTTTAATAATTATGATTATGCCAAATCATTTCGGTATGATTGCAAATGGATTTAAAAGTGTTTCAGATATTAGTAGAGGCACACACATAGGTCAAATCTTCAAATCAAAACACTTTGATTTACTGAGTTGTATCAGTTGTAGGGGGAAAGTTGTATTAGCTTAGGTGGCAAAAATCAGTCTCTAGCACCTTCTCCAAGTAACAAATGTTATTAAAAAGCATAAGTTCTTATGAGCTGCAGCTCCTATCATCAGGTGCATAAAATAGCTAGCCACTCTGTGCATCTGATGAAGAGGGCTGCAGCTTGCAAAAATGTATGCCTTTTAATAACATTTGTTACTTGGAGAAGGTGCTGTGGGCCCTGATCTAGTCCCAGTATAGGCTAGCACAGCTGTCCTACTTTACCTAGTGCAACATCTGGTGATGTATTTGCTGTGAAGTTTGAATATGAAATCATAAATAGGTTCATGAGATACAGTTTGGGGCAGTTAATTATGTACTGTAAATATGTAAAAGGTTGAGTCAGTGGTGGCTTTTCCAGATCAGTGGTCTAAACATGAGTTAAGTTTTACTCTGAATTTAGGATAAGGCAGAATCACTAGTTAAATTCATTTTTTCTCTTTTTAAAATTAAGTACGTGGAAGGTTCATTTGAGAAATACTTGGAACGACTTGGAGACCCCAAGGTAAGAGAGATTTTGGCAAATATGCTAAAGACCCATCAGAACAGAAGCCCCTGAAAGTTTTAAGCAGTGTAAAATAAAAGCTATCTGTAGGGTTTTTCCTAAACAACTAGCATTTAAATTCAGTTTTTTTCACTGGCCAACCTATGTTATAGATCAGTTTTTCCCAATCTGGCACTTCCCAGATGGGTTAAATTTGCTTTACTAGCTAAGAATGCTGGGATGTGTTGTCTGACATATGCAGGTGTCTTAGTTGGGGAAAACTGTTTGCAGGCTACTCTTGGAAAATAGTAACGGTATCTTGAAAAGTGAAATTCAGGTCTCTCTTTTTCACCAAGCATGTTGGACTTGTCCTTTTCCTTACAAGAATATGGAAGCTGACACTGACTTAACTATTTCTGTTGAGTTATAAGATTATCCTCATTAAAGAAACATTGTTAATACATTGATGCTATAATGTACCCCTTTCTTTTGCATTCTAGATGACCATTGCTCCTTAAGAAAGTAGTATATTTCAATTCACTTCATAAAAATTCTTATATTCTGCCCTTTTTCCAAAGACTCAAGGGAGTTTTTGAATATGTGATTGAGAATACTGTAACTTGTGAAGATATCTTCCATAGTTCCTTCCAGTGATAAAATTACTACTATGTTCAGCTTTAATCTAACCTGTGTTATGTTTATATTATAGTTTGTCTTTAGGATTGTTTGAAAGTTTTCTGGTGATTTTACTTATATACAATGTGGTATTCATTATCTCTGTTGAAATGTAGGATATCAGTGGTCCAAATAAGCTACTTTCTTGAGTTTGATGTCTTCTAGATGAGTTGGGATGGTATTGATGTTCCTGGAATAAATGTTCTAATTTGTGGGCAGAGAAATTGAGTAGGTGACAGCTCCAGATTTCTCAGGGGAAGAACAACTAGTCAAACAATTTCTCAAGTGGAGAACTCTTTGGTGAAGGTGAATGAAGTTTCTCTTGAAACAAAGTTCTTCCTAAAGTCTTCCCTGTGATTTAACAAGGAACCTGCAGAATCCTGAAGAGGCCTATTCAATATAAAACAGGACTGACCTATCTCTTGGCAGTCTCTCAACGTCATACTCCTTCCATCATACTTCTTCCATGAGGTTTTCACCATTTTTTCCCCCTTTGAAATGACATCTAAAACAAATCAGGAAAATTCCTTTGCCTAGCATAACCAGGTTTCCTAGCTTGTCCAGCATACCAGAAAAACCTCAAACTTAGGAAATGTAGACAAGAAACACGGGGTACAGTTCTGAAGCTTTAAAGTGTCTTGCTCCTTCAGGTCACTTACTGGTTGATGCATTTCATTTATCTATTTAAAATATTTGTAACCCACATTTTATGATGTTCTGCCTGCTTAAGCCAGCTTTATATGCTTATCAAAAACATGAAAAAAAAGTTTAGTACAGTTAAGCATGCACATTCATAGAGCAATAGCCACAGATTGGTCAGGTATTAAAATAACTAAATGTCTTCGACAAATTCCTGATTGTCAGTGGTGGGAGCTCCAAAAGTGGGAAAACTTGGTCCTTTATTGCTAGTATGACCAATTCCTTGATGGAGCAGGAATTAATGCTTGGCCAGGTTTATAGGTATAGGCTATTGTTCAGATAATGTGGTCCAAATGTATTATTTCAATATATACAGCCACCCATCTCTGGGTGGTTTACACTAGTTAAAAGCCGTACAAAAGACAGAATGTAATATAAAAACCTATAGAAAGCATGTTGAACCATATTAAAAAGCCATACGACATTATCTGCAGCCGAAGTATAAAAACGGGCAACAACGTTCAATGTAGCTGCCCAAGTGGTGGGCAAAGCCATGTCCTTATGGCATTACAAAAGATCAGTAGGGTTGGGGCCAATCTGATTTCATATAGGCAACAAGGCTTGGAGACAAGTAATGTAACCAATGCTGGATTGTCTAATTTGGTCCAAGTATGTAGCTGTCATATTTGGGACTAGTTTCAGTTTTCTGAATGGTCTTCAAGGAGAGCGCTCTGTTGAGTGCATTATGGTAATCTAATGTGGACATTAAGACTTATGTCATTAACACGATCGGGCAGTAGGCGAGGGCTTACGTTGGAGTCACTGCAAAATTGTTCTGTTGCAAAGTGGTCAATTCATTTCCCTTCTGTTAAACAGGAAAGTGCTGGGCAGCTAGAAATCACTGCCTTCTCACTGATCTATAAGTAAGTATTACATTTTCTAATGTCAGGACTTGATCTCTTCGTATGATTTAGATAAAATACACATCTTGTAACTTGATAAACACAAATGACCCAAGAAAGTATTCATCATTCATTTACAGGCATTAGAGTGTTTCCACTACTTACAGCTCTTAGCAGTTATAAAAATTATCTGAAGCAATGTGGAATAGGCCATAAATCTATTTGGTAATTACTAAACTGTTGGCTTTAACAAGAATTTATGGGATCCGGCTTAAAAGCAGTACTGTATCATTTTCCTTTATCTGTTTCTCTGTTTTACGTGCTGCCTTTTAAAATAAGCTTTCTCAACGCAGTGTATGGTGAAATATCATAAAACCCATTATCTAAAATTATAAACTAAAAGCTAACTAATACAAGCATCTTCTAGGGCTTTTGTAGTCATTTAGCTATCAATTAAAGCCGTTGAAACGTTTTATCACAGCAGGAATTTAAGAACAAAGAAAAAATACGGAGTTGGAAGAGAGGGTGGTGGAAGAGCTTCCCGTGCTTTTGTCCTTCCCTGATGGCTTTGCTGCTAAAAATGGGTTCCAGCTTCTTCATCTCCGATGGGTAAAATGCGTACAGCTACCTGCGATTTGCAAGGAGTGTGCGCTTTTTAGCAAAAAAGCTACCAGAAGTAGGACTGTTGGGAAGCTCTACCAGCTGTGTCAATGGACAAATGAAGGCTGGAATTTCAGTGACTGTCTTGTTTTGAAAAACAAAAGGGGGGGGAGAGAATTGCACATGTCGGGGAGAGAATTGCACATATCTGGAAGTTGCATGAACATAACTCACTGAAGTACTACAGTAGTGTGTAGGGGGAGGGTCTTTTTTCATGGTCTACTCTGCGTCAGTCATTTTGCTTGCTCAGTGAACCACCAAGATATGTTTGAAATTATCCTTGCTCTGTATCAGAGATGAGGAACCTCTTTTTCATTGGCTGCGCTCACTCAAAGATCAGGGTGCACAGGATGAGACCACCAGCAATAGAATCACCTGATTTTGTTTTTGCTTTGCTATTCCTTACGTCCTCCAGTTTTATCCAATCATTCCTCCTTCCTTACACTTTTAGGACTCTTAGAAGTAATTATGGATAGGGTAAATCTCTGAATTCAACTTGGCTGTACTTCAAACATTAGATTGCATGCTGTCTAGATTTTATTTAAACATAAGGAAAAAACGTACCTCCTCAAAGAACTACAGCAGTATGTAGGAAAGAGAGAGGTTCTTTATTTTGAAACCAGCGGTTGCAGGATGGGCTGTTTGTCGTCCGCAATACTCAGAAAGAAATGAAATTACGGCTGACTATGTGTAAGTTTTAAAATGTAAGTTCAGAACAATGGAAATGAACTTTTGTATTGGCCTCTTGAGGTTGCTCAATGAAAATGGTAGCATGCGCATCGCAAAATGTTTTGTGGGGTGTCTAAAATACCTAGATTTCCAAAGAATAAATAGGCAGTACTTTATATTTTTCTGTTCCTTTATTTGTTTTTCCTTTTCTGAATCTCACTTTGATATTTGGAGAGGCCAAAGATGGATTTAGTTTTGTTTTATACTTTATTGTAAACTGGAAGAGACCTTAGTAATCAGCAGTAGAGTAAGTTCCAAAAAAAGGAAGGGCTTCCTTGACGTTGCCCTTTCTGTTGTAGGAAATACATAACAGAAACTCTCTAGCTTTAAATGCCATTGGTCTTTTCAAGCTAATATGGAGTATTTCGACCATGTCTAGCAATCCTTGCTGTATAAGACTGAAACTGGCTCTTAGGAGAATCTCATGGTGGAGACCAAGGGTGGTGTAGTAGCTAAGGTGTTGGACTGGTACTGGGGAGACCTGGCTCCAACTCTACTGTTAGGCACAACATTTTGGGGAATTTGGGGCCAGTCATTCTCTCTCAGCCCAAAATATTTCCATGATAGGTGTTGTAGGGAATAATTAGAGGAGGGAGCTTTAGATATGTTATCTTTATCCCCTGGATGAAAGGCAGGTTACAAATCTAACAGATAAATAAAACAAGCACATAGTGGACAGGAGTGGTTTACTACTTCTTCCCGGAAGGCAATCCGTTTTTCATCTTGGTCAGCCTACATGAGTGGTCACTTTGTTGACACTGAACAGAATAACCCTTTACTCCTCTGAAATCAGTACTATTCTAAGATTCCTCTAAAGCTGGAATTACACATATTGTCAGCCTTGCCAGGTAGACCAGACAGGAAACATGACCAGATGAGCTAATTCTACTTTATTGTAAGGCTACATTAACAGAATCTTGCAAGTTTGAAAGTACAAATCTCCTGCTGTCTTCTTTACAGCCCGAGAAGTTAAGGAGGCGTGAGCCTCTTTCTCATCCCATTATACAGCTGTGGGCTGTGTTCCCTCTTATCTGACCATTCCCTTGGCAGCATCTCTTGGCCCTGTCTCCCAAGGTCTTTCCCACATACCATTACACATATTGTTCTAATACAAACCTTCAGAAATAATGTAAAATTGCTTTCCCTACCTGATGGTCTCCAACTGACTTTTGACAAGAGTTTGCAGTTCAACATGTTAGGAAAGAAGTAGGGTGGAAAAGTATGATAGACACTTGACTCCATACAGTAATATATTATATTCTCATAGGTTCCGTGCTAGCTGGGGAATTCTGGGAGCTGAAGTCCACACATTTCAAAGTTGCAGGGGTTGGGAAACACTGGCTCAGTAAAGCAAAGCTTCAGCCACAGTTGTGGGGCCTATTTCCTGACCTGGCTTGCCTTGAAGGTCTGACTAGTCATACACTTCCAAGAAAGATGAGCTGTTTTTTTTTTTTTCTGTCTCTTACCTCTGTTAATCATTTAGCCGAGACTTCATTCTTTATCGGCACCCTGGAAAACCTGCTTCTTACGCTACTGATAATGGCTTTGAAGAAAAGGTAAGTGAGCTGACCTATGAGAGAGAAAGATCCAAACTGAAAGTACCATTCTGTGTGTTGGGCGATGTGCAAAACGTTGTTTCTAACCTCCTGGAGTGCAAAATCTGAATTGTCCTGTTCCAAGTGCAAGCCTGCTGCTTCAGCCATTTGTGGAGTGTAAAACATTTTGTTATTTTTTGACTCCTCCTGAAACGCTTGAAACATACTTGAGGGAGACATTTCAGGAACTCTCGTGCTATAAACAGTTCAGGGAAAAAAGTATGCACTGTGCACTTGATATAATTTTTTGAGAATAAAGTGGTCCACAGTTTATACATCATAGGAAAATTGATGAGAGAAAAGATTGCCCAATAGTGTTGCAGTGAGGTTGTTTGAATATTAGTCCAACACTTCTGCTGTAGTTTCTTGCTCTGTTTTACCCATACAAGAACTTGGATAGATGATATAATGAATCTGTTATCTCCCAAAGCACTCTGCTCGTGATACAGGTAAGATCAACTTCACTGCTTCCCCTGCAAACTATAACTTCTAAATATAATAAAAACTAGAAAGATTTGGTGGCAAGGGTTTGTTGGTTCCTGATCTAGGGCCTACAGAAGAAGATCTTAATTTTTCCACAAACCATGTTCTAAGATACATCCATTATGGTATAGCTTATCTGGCTAGATAGTTGGTCTAAAGAAGTTTGTCCAGTTCCTATAAAAAGGCCTCAATTTGAAAAGCATTGGTTCTTATTTCATTAAAACCTGAAGGGCGATATGTATTTTGAAGACTCTGCTGTTAGCACCTGAGTTGATAAAAATGCTAAGTGTGCTTTCCCCCCATTGCCCCTAATCCAGTTTAAATTTTCCATAATCTTGACAAGTTGTGCACCTTTTAAAAGAAAGCTCTAATTAGCATAACACTGAGCTGAACAGCTGGCTCCTTTTGGCAGCTTTGCCATGGACCCATTGGATGTACTGGCTGAATGATGAAATAAGTGTGTGTGTGTGTGTGTGTGTGTATGCTAATATGTAGCATGGCAGCAGTAGAAAAACAGGGCCTCCCTTCATGAAACCTCCTTGTTCTTCATTCTTAACACCTCTTAATGAAAAACTTTGCAGAGAATGGATTTCTCTGAAGATTTATCAGTTACTCTGTAGATGTGCAAGGCTTAAACGCGTAATTTCTGAGTGTTGAGTGCTTCATGGCAGCCTTATTGCCAACTAGAATCCTTATTTCAAAATTATTAACTGTAGAAATTCAACAGCCAGTATTCTCAAGCTGATCTTTTGGCCTGGACACAGTCTGATGCTAGTCTAATAACTTTATTTGCTGCACTGTCTGCTGGCATCTGTAAAACCTTTATATGATTCATCATTTCACAGCTTCACATTTACAGTGGAAGCGTTAAGTATATTTCATCCCTTTAATTTTATGTGTATGTGTATTACAAGATCAGTATAGTAGAAACAGGATCTTGTGTAGCATCTTAAGTTCATCACAGGGTGTATGTATATTAAGAATATGCTATCTCCTTAATACCATAGCCTCACCATTCACAAATGAGTAGAGTAGGGCTTTTAGAAAGATTTAATAGATTAATAGTATCCTGATTAATTGGACAGCTCTCTCTTTGTAATATGTAGCTGGGTATGTTTACAGTCATACAAATAAATTTACGACACACACAAAATAACGTTTGCAAAACCTACTTTGTAAAACAATCTCATAAGAACTATCATACAATATGCTTTTCTTTTATGTGTAGACATAACCTAAAAACCACTCTTTTTACTTGTATGTAAATTGTTTTTACATTTAATGTTTGAATGACGTTTAACTCCTATAAATGGGGGAAGCAGTATGACTGTTCTTCTGGATGGTGTGGGGGACTGTGAGCAAAAATACACACGTTTTCAGATTTCCAGAATTACATTTAAGGTAAGATTTTGTCTTTCAGATTCTACTGTGTTGTTCCAGTAATGGTCATTATGATTCTGTGTATACCAAACAATTTCAAGCAAATGCTGCGATCTGCCAGGGTAAATAAAACATCGCCTCTTCTATCCCACCACTCTGTTTTAAATAGCACAGTAATAGATCTGTCTTGTTAAAGACGTATGTCTTAGGTACCGCAAGTCCCCTATTTTTAGAAGTGTTGCTCCAGCTTGTAAACAATTTGTAAAGATGCAATCCTTTATTGCCCTAGCTGTCCTGTATGAGATTCTGTACAAAAACGTCTTCAATGTGGATGAAGAAGAATTGAGAACTGCCGTTGAGATGTTTCGAAATGGGGCTAAGAAAAACAGAAACAGTGCATCTGTTGGGAGTGAAGATGCAAATTTTGATTGCCTTCCTGAAAGGGCATCCAGAAACTCTCCAGAAAAGAGGTACCCTTTGAAAACTGAAGTGTTAGTCATATGTCTCATTAGAGTTATCCATTAGATGGTGGTGTTCCAGCGCATCTTAACCCCTGGGGTCTAATGTGTGAAAACTCATTAATACGAAGGTTTGTGTGCGTGCAACACTTAGCTACCTTTAGCCCAACTGGCTGTCCCAATTCAGCAGTCTTCTGAAGTAGTTGGCCAAAACTCATTTTGCCTGTGAATTCTGGAAGCTGCTCCTTAACAAATTCAGAGGGCGCTGGACTGGAGAAGGCTGCTGTAGGGAATGTGTATAGATACATGGGGTGGTGTCAAGCCCAACCCACCCAACCAAGATTAAGAAAGCCAGAACTACCCAGACTCCTGGATGGTATCTTGAATGCTAGTCTTAGGGTAGTTACAAGAATCTTAGAACCTGGAAGAGACATTTCCCAGCCTGGTTCAGGTGGAGTCTCTGAAGGATCTGAAATGTTTCTTCCCAGGTCGCTCACCACCTGGGCTGAACCGCTGTTCATGAGATAAGCTGGCAACTGACTTGCCTTCTGTCTCTTGATTGTTCATGGCTACTTTCCCTTCCTTTCCCAGTCTCCCTGCAGTCTCTCACAGATGGAAACGCTTCCATCGGGATTGCAAAGCTGCTGCTGTTAGTTATTTTTGTAGGTCAAATTCTAAATGCAGATTGTGACCAGGAAGATGCTTTCCAGATAGTTCGACGCTGGGTGGCACCAAAATGCTGCTGTGTGGCTTTCCTGCTTCTGTTTCAGCACTGGACAGCGATAGGGACGATGCGCTTCTTTTGATCCTGTGTGTCTTTAATTGTTTAGATTGGAAGACTGGGAAAGCTTTGATTCGGCCAACCCAGCGGAGGAAAAATGCAAACAAGGCACAGACGAAGCAAAGGTTTGACTTTTTCGGACAAGGAGATCCCACGTGCCCAAACATCCCTCCCATATGTAGCAGGAAGCGCAATTTCATGGCCTCACCTCTTCTTCCTTTAACTTTGCATCTTCTTCTGATATTGCGCTGCTGCGGTTAAAGACTTAGATGTCTAAAAGATTTAAATTCTGCTTCAGGGATGGCAGATACAAGGGCTGGAGAAAATAACATCTTGGAAAACTATACTTAAGGTGTCATTAACGTACTGCTGGTTTTCTTGAGCTGTGCTACCTAAATGTGACATTTAAACATTCTGTTCTTAAGTCTTTCCTGTTGTTTAAAGATATTTTTTAAAGCAGCGTCTCCTCTGTCGTATTCCCCCCCTTTCTGTGTATGTCTTTTTTTCAACCCCATCCTCCTTTTGGTGTAACAAATAATTACGGATTCTTTCTCTAGCTTTTTACCATTCTCCATTAAATTGCTTTTAGTTGTCCTTATTTGGATAAACTACAATATGGCTTTGCACCATGCAGAATACAGATGATACAAGCCCACAATGTAGTTTATCCAAACCCAGACAAGGGTTCAGCTTGGGATCAATTTCTCTGCTGTTAGCCATTATTTTGGGTTTAGGCAATCTTATGATTAAACAGTCCTTCAGGAAAACGAGGCAGGATCCAGGAGCAGGAACAAGAAGTTATTTTTCTGTAAAACTCTTATTTTACGATTTCCTGTCAGTGCCTGGTGTGGGGGCTTATTTTTGGAAGAGGGGCTCTGATCTCAATTAGGTCACCATGCACAGGATATTTTTCTTCTCAGTGGAAAATGAGTGCAAAGTGGCCACTCATAAAAAAAATGGGAGAGGGGCTACCCAACTATGGCCAGATGTGGTTTGCTGTATTGTCTTGTGTGGAACTCATGTATAAACCCTGTACCTATGGTTAATGCTGAGCATAGCTGAGCATAGGGCTGTTCAACATTCATCTTAAAACACTTCTCACACAGTACTCTGGGCTTGAATTATGTCCTTTTTTGTTATTTGGTGGTTCTTGGCTATCTAGGTATAAACAGAATCCCAAGGGGAGAGGAACGCCTTTCGCTTCATCTCCAGAAGTCCATCAGGATTGGAGCAAGCTATAAATCATTTTAAATAAAAGAAATTAATTAGTTTGTCTCCCAGCCTCAGAGATTAGTTAAGCATTAAAATGCCTAATTGTGGTTAAAGTTTTTTATTCCACTGTCATTACTGTACTATTTGATATCTATCTGCTAATTGCCACATGCAAATTGAACTTCACATGTTCTTGTGTGGGCATTTCTAGTGGGTGCAAAGTATAAGCTGGTAGGAAGGTTTCAGCATTTCCTCTAGAGTTGGCAGGTCGAGTGGAGTTGTAGCCAGCAGCTTTTTTTAATTTGTTCCCCTTCAACTTTGTAGCCTCCAGAAAACCCAAAGATGCCCTTCCCCTACAAAGTATTGAAAGCCTTGGATCCTGAGATCTATCGGAACATAGAGTTCGATGTTTGGCTGGACAGCAGAAAAGGTAGTCCGTGTGTATGGTTTGTTTTGCATGTGAAAAATGTGTTCCGTACCTTTGCAGTTGATGGCCGAAGTAAAGCAAATAACTAGCAGGTGTTGTGTCCAAAAGGCTGGACAACACTGGCCTAGCAGCTGAATTCCCAGTGCACACACATGACATTTTCATGTTAAGAATTTGCTGTGGGTAACAACAGTCATAAAATACAGCTAACGAGCTAATTGGGAATGAAGCTTAAAAGCTTTAATTATGAAGTTCAAGGTAATGTATGAATTGCTTCACCCTGTCTATATTAACTCCTCTATTTGTTGTACAACCTCATTTAGCAACCGTTCAGTTACAACGGTGATGAAAAAGTAACTTTATAACCAATCCTTGCATTTATGACCTTTGTAGGTTTATAAAGCAAAGGAAAGCTGAAGTCAAATCAGAGTTGTGGTTTCACTTAGTGACTGCTTCGCTTAACAGCCAGGTTGCTGGTGCCAGTTGTCACTAAACGAGGACCATCTGTTCAGCCTTCTCATTTACTGCTCCCAGATTGTTGGACATGCATCCCTCGGAAGCATTTGAAGACTTCTGCATTGGAGAAGGCTATATAGACATAATGTTCATTGGGCGTGCATAATGTCTTTGCCAGGAATATCAGAAAAATAAGCCAATTACACAATATTTTTTTCCCAAGCAAAGTATTCTAGCATCAGATTAGTATCCATGAATGCTTGATAAATAGCTTAAGTTTTCTTTTGATCTCCCTTTGTAGAACTTCAAAAAACAGATTACTTGGTGTTTGCTGGAAGACAGTACTATTTAGGAGACAAATGTCAGGTTAGTCCTCTATGTTCGCTTAGTAAGTTCTTACAGTGCTTATCCCAAATTAGATGAGCTCCATTAATTGAGATCTTCTTAGGATCTCATTCTCCCTAAGTTATGAATCTGGTGACAAGTTCCAGTGAGATTTCAAAAGAATCATACGTTTAAACTTCCAGTAATAATGAGTTGGTGTCAACACTTTTGACCTCTTGGGAAAGGTAAATAGCATCTCTGAGAGGTTAGGACACATGACTTCTTCCTTATACTTTAAAAATGGGTTCTGAATTATCCCTGGAAATTGTGCTAGATTTTTTAGGTAGTGTTTCTGGGGCTGCCTAGGTGGCAATATTTTCTGCTTTCACTATGTATAATGTTAGTGCATAACACTATTTCCAGAGATATTTCTAAAATGGTTCTGGCTTGTATCAAAAGCATATATTTAGTCTCTTCGGTCTTTATAGAAAACAAGGACACCAGTAAAAGGCCCTTAGTCTGTCTTATTATTTTGATTTACATTTACTGCCTCACAAATCATCCAGGGCAGAAAATATAAATTAACTTCAGATTATAAATAGTAATGTTGGATCTAAGTCAAGGCTGGTTTTGCTTTCAAGAATGAAACACATCAGTTTGTAAGTTGAATCTGGCTAATTTCACTTTTTGGCAGTGCTGCTGTGTAGAAAACTCAAGTACTAATTATTCTGAGCCCCTTTGGGTTTAGTTAGATTCTTATTTTTCTCAGGTACGCCTAGAAGCTGGGGGTAAATACTACAATGCCCATATACAGGATGTTGGACAGGATAATATGGTAACTGTCTTCATTGAAGAGCTGGCAGAGAAGTATGTATTTATTTCCCTTTGATCAAGAATGTATTCATTGCATTCATTGGAACAGTTATCAATATCAGAATTTTAGCTGTGCTACTTCGAAATCAGGTTAACTAATGCTACAAGGTAGTCCCCAGTTTAAGAACGAGTTCTGTTCCCAGGGTCTGTCCTTAAGTCGAATTTGTATGTAAGCCGGAATAATATTGTATAATACTGTATAAGTAGTATTGTGTAATGAACTCCAGTCATTGTGTCTTTAACTCGAATTTTGCTACAGTAGGCTCCATTCTTAACTATGGGTTGGCTTTAAATCAGGCGTTCTGAACCTGGGGACTACCTGTATACAAAAGCTGACATCTTGGTTTCCATAACATTTCCTCAGATACGCTGGGTTTAATTCTTTTATGATATGGGGGATTCAGTTCAACAGTTTCTAACATGGAAAAGGTTTTAATTTCATTTCCCAGAGGAAGGTGTGTTAAAAATTAAACCTTTAATTTTCCTATGATAATGGTGTCCTGGCATAAACTTGACACTTAAAAATGTAAGTCATAGTCTTGTGGAACCTTAAACACAAACATCTTCATTGCATTTGTTTTTGTGGATCAAATGTCTTGTGATCCATGAAGCTTTTGTGATAATAAATGTATTAATCTTTAATATGTGTCCTGATTCTTCATTTTTGAGTTCTCTGGAAACTCAACATATTATAGTATTACAAAACAACTCAGTATAAAACCTATTAAGAGAATAGTACCTGTAAGTAACTATAACAGGAAAAATTGACTTATGAAGACCAGTTCTCTGATAACTTGATGAAAATAGGCCTATTTCCATTATTACCTTGCATATAATGAAGACCGTTCTGGTATTTCTTCAGGCTATTTAATTTAAGTTAGTGTATAAGTTACTTTGCCTGAGTAACCTTAAGTAGGGGTACAACTAATTTAAGTTCTAATTGTGATACAAGTCAATTTATGTTAATGGTCAGTATCATTGTGCAGCCTTGATCATCTTTGTGTGGGACTCTTAAGGACAACTAGCCATTGAAGTGGGGAACAGTAGGCTTCAATCTTAGATGTCATAGGTTTTATATTGTTATGAGGGTTTTTTTCTGTGGTTGTACTAACTCTGGTTGGGGTGATATATAGGCATGTTGTTCCACTGGTAAATTTGAAGCCTGTGACCCAAGTCACTCCAGTTCCTGCCTGGAATGTGATCTCCGCTAGAAAAGGAGGAACCTATCAGAAGATATCAGGTGGGTACATCCATGAGTAAAGACAGTAATGGGATGGCTGTGTAGAGTAGTAAAGAAGCTTACGACCTGCAACAGTGCTCCTACAGTAAATCAACAACTTGTTTCTGGCAAGGGATGAATTTGTCACCCATTTTCCCGTCCTTCACTGTCCAGTTCATTTCTCCATTAGTTCAAAATTCATTGTGACAAGTAATTTCATATTCATGTTTGTGCTTATTTCTTCCCAAACCTGTGATTTATGTGCCATTTCCTCTTTTACATAGCGTTTTATAAATCCTTTTACTATGTATGTGCATAGTATATGTGTAGTAAAAGTCTAAAAAAAAAACAAAAAAAACCCTTCAGGTTGACATTTAAGAAGAGCAAATTGGGTAAGAGAGACCAAAATGTGAATCCCAAACAAATTTCTTATCCAGTCTTGATCTCTAAATGATTACATTTTGAAGCAAACCAGAGGCAGGACATCTCTGAGATCAAGAAGATTAAAATGTTGGAACTTTGTACAGTGTTTGTCTCCAAGGTCTTTGAGAAGAAAACATTTCTTCAGGCTGGTATACTGTTGAGAGGAGCTGAGTGCATCTGCTTCTCCCTCACATTCTGAGATTACAAGCTTTCGCTCGATTATTCTTAATAAATACTACCTTCTCACAACAAGGAGCAAACTTACACTTGAAAAATCCTTGCATTGGAGCATAAGCTGATTCCTCAGTTTTGATGTCAGCAGTTAAGGGCTTATGAGATCCAGTAGATCAAACTTATTAGAGGGGTGGGTTTTTTTTTTTTTTGGTAGTCAATGGACTATTACTGCCATATTTAAGCAATTACTAAGGTAAATACTCCCTCAAGTCAATCTTGATCCCTGGATTAATTATTTTAAAACACTTGGTTTGGCTAAAAAAATTCTCCCTCACAATTAAAAAAATGAAAACTGCTTTTTATTATTCTTCAAGCATCTTTCAATTGTACAACACTAAATACTCTTATGGAGAAGTGGATGAATTTTAGTTGGATGTTAATAAGTATACATTACTTTAAAAGAATATTTTTTACCCATTTGGAGATACCCTGGTCAAATGCAGACTTAATGCAGATTTAATCAGTTAAAGTTAAACTGATCTAAACACGGCTATAGAATACTGCAAGAAAGTTGCAATGATATAAATTCATAAAACTCTTGACTATGAATTGTAACAGACACAGTTGAAAATTCAGGAAATAAGGCATATTAAAATCAATCTCCCCCCCCCCCCATAAGTGTTCATTGGGTGAGCACACATGTAGTCCCTGACATTTTCCTGTGTTAAATTATGAAGAATCTATAAAGAGTGCATTTTTAGACACGGCTCAATCTGTGTCAAGATCAAAATGATCTTCCTGTATGTAACTGAAAAGTTTTCTCAGCCCAAAAAGCAAACGCATTTAAAGTTTACAACCATTTAAGGGCCTACTGCAGCAAATCCTGCTGCAGGTGTACATCATTATTAATAACTCTAAATGTACTCATAAAGTGGATATCTGAAGAGATAATGAAAGGTGCATGGTTGCTTTTCTACAAGTAGACACTTCACTCAATATCTCAGCTTTTCTTCTCTTTTTTGTGCCTTTCTGAGAGGATCCCCACTGTCTCAGTCCCCCAAGATGCAAAAGCTTCTCTCTAATTACCATCCTGCGGATCTATTAAATTATTCTTCCATCTGAAGAGTTATCTCGAACTGGCTAAAAGAGGTGCGGATTTGTGTTTTGCAACATGACACGCAAGCAATCCTTGCTTGTTTGATCAGAAATGTTTCAAAAAATTACAACGTGAAACAGTAAAAGCTAATTTTTACTTCAAAGACCTAATGGAAATATCCAGGTAGAATTTGATCAAATGTAATTAACTGAAGGTCAGTGGCCTACATAATGTTAATCTTTATGTCAAAACTTTGTGCAAGACACTTTTTTGTATGCAGCTGATTACACTAAAGCTAGTGTCCCATACTGTGTGCAAATATACCCCAATGCCAATTCCTCGTGTGTGTGTGTGTGTGTGTGTGTGTGTGTGTGTGTATATCTCCATCCATTTTAGTAATCAGCTAAGAACATCCAGGAATATTTCAACCTTTCATTAAGAGTTCTCTAAATAGGTCATGTTCATTAACTAACTCTTCTTATTAGAAAATGCAGATATTCTCAGTATTCAGAGGTATTAATGTGTGGTAGTTTAGATAATTTTGTTGGAAAAATACGCACAGCAGATCAATTATATGGGAACTCAGAATAATATAAAACGGAAGCAAGCGTTTCTTATTGTTCCCCCTTGGATTATTTTTTACTGTTCCCCTTTGGATTGTGTAAAAGCCCTTTTATACCAAATCTTCAAATTATATTGATATAAATACATTTTGCACCAAGAAAAGGAGTTTTCCAGCTATCTTGGTTATGCATACCATAGAGAAAAATATTTGAAAGAGTAACAAAAGCTACCTTTTAATAGTGGCTGGATTTCTTTTAGAATTTTGTCAGAGGAAAAACAAAATTCTTACAGATGGTGGATTTGTGTTCTGTTCAGAATCCAACCTGGGAGCAGAAAAACATTTTGTGCTGTTTAATCATCCAAACTGAAAAATGAGATGAACTTAAATGAAGCTCTACAAATCTGCTGATCAAGCTACTGTCTTTACTCATTAGACACAGATGTATTTCTTTCCTTTTTTTATTTTAAAGGAAAGGTTAACAATAGTCTCCATATTTTAAATTTCTGTACGTGGCAAAAATGAGCATCCACAAATGGTTAAATCTTTTGGCAGAAAAACCGAATTCAGGATTTTATTAGTTTGGAAAAAAGAGGTTACTCAATTATGCAGTATGATGATGTGCTGAGAAGCATACAGTTTGACAAGACGTTAGCTGTTAAAATAATTCAGGGGAAAAAAATATCCATGAATTTATATCTCACTAAAAGGAACTTGAATTTCAATTTTTTTCCCCTTCCCTGTTAAGGGCAAAAAGTGCTGCTAAAATTTTCTGGAGTGTTAAATACGCTAGGTCCAAGTAAAACAGTATAAAAAAATATATCTGCCATCTCACTTCCGTAAGAAAATGAATGGTGGTCATGACTTTGGGCAATAAAGGGAGTTCCTTTTTGAACTGTCAGGTCAAAAACAAAACTTCTTGGAGACTTTCTGTGAGCACCATGAAGCTGATGTCCTGCTGGTTAGCAGGACAGCATTTGCGAGGAGAATTGCAGCTGGATTCAGACTGACAAAATCTCTCCAGGGGAAGGAGAGATCCTTGATTATCCATGCAACTATGGACAGCCGCTCCTTGTGAGTAGACCATGGAAACTGCCTTTATGCATTGGCTTATGAATGGAGTGGCTGGGAGTTGGGATTTCATCAAGCTCACATTCGCCAAGCAGCCTCTTACGAACATTAAGCTCAACTGAGCCTCATATCTTAATCATTTTTTTCATTATTACTATTTTTTGTATACTGGAGAGATCAAGACCCTTCAGACTGGCACGGTTTTACTGTAATCATTGGGTGAGTCTTCTCCTCCTCAGAGGACAATGGGGTTAATTGGATTTTAAAAGTTTTGAAAATATGGTTTTTTGGACTATTATGAGAGATCAAGGCTATCACGAAGGAGGGGGTGCATTCCAGGAAGGGAAAGACAAAAGACAACACAGTCCACAGGGGGAGCGTGGGAAGCATAAGAGCTTCATGATAGCCACTCCCTAGAATCTCCCAGGCTATATCCACTAGTTGCCGTAGTATAGATTTAGTTTGGCAAGATTCTGTCTAGAAGACGTAAGCAAATAAAAGAATTTTCCTCAACTGGACTGTTTTACCGTTCTTGGGCTGGGCTTGACATCAGTGTAGCAAAAGGGAGATATAAATTTATGGATAAATTTTAATGAGATATAACTCTCATTAAATATTTTTTCATTAGATATTTTTTCCCCTGAATTATTTTAACAGCTAACATCTTGTCAAATTTACTCTTTCAGTACATCATCATACTGCATAATTGAGTAACCTCTTTTTTCCAAGCTAATAAATGGAGCTTAGAAAGTATACATGGAGTTAGAAAGTTAACAACAGAGTAAGGGGCCAGAGGGATTTAGAACTATATCTTTGAATTAATTAAAAGAGTTTTCTCGTGGGAAAATGGCGATTGTTTTGGCTTTTTCACAATAAGACCACCTTGAACGTTGGGCACTAGAGGGACCTAGAGGATGAAGAATGTGGAGCAGAAATCGATACTGCAAGTTTTTGAATATCTCTCTACCAAGCTTCTTGATAGAATGGATCGATTGCTTGACAAGATAGTGTTGTAATGAAGTTATAGAACAAAAACAAGTTGCAGTGGATGTCTGTGAAATTACTTGGAAGGGGGACTTAAATTTACCACAAATGGATCTAATGGATGACTTACTCCCTAAAGGAGATAGGCAGATATCAAACCAGGAAACTGATCTGGATAATTTTTTCTTACTGGATATACAAAAGAGCTCTGTTAAGGTTTTGAAGGACTTTATTACATTTGATAAGCAAAAGGATAAACTCTGCTTATTGGATATGCAAAAGAAATTTGTTGAAGTCCTAAAAGATTTTTGCCTTGAAACACAGATAACCAGCAAATTACCTCTGGGGCTCTCTTTGAAGCAGTTAAAAAATATTTCTAAGAAGAAATACACTATTTGTTCAGTCAGGACTAAAAGAGGGAAATAATTACATCTGGTTGCCCTGACTGGACTTTTGCTTACAAAGAACGATTGACAAAGCATTTGGATTTTGGTTTTTTCACTTAAGAGATGAGCTGTGGGGAGAAGAGAGATTATGTTGTATTTAGAGATGCTGCTAAGCTATTAAAACTGTTTTTACTTCCTGGGATGAAGAGGGAAGTTACTTCTTTTTTTCTTTTTCTCATTTCTTTTTTCTTTTCCACCCCCCCCTTTTTTTTCTTTAGTATTTTTATGTTAGTATTTTTTGTACTTTGTATTGGCTTTCATTATTTTCATTTAACGTTCTTAATAAAATTATGTGGAAAAACAAAACAAAACTTGTTGATGAAGTGGAAGAGAATTGTAAGGTCCCATGTGCATTCTGTTTTGTGCTGATCTGTCTTCACACCTCTTTGCATAAAAGACATTTTTTACATGTAGGTGTTTAGCTACTCATCCACCACCCAAGGATCAAAGAAGACATGGCAAGGAAGTAGAAATTCCATGGTGGAGGAGGGATGAAATTCTCATTTTTTAAAAAATTTCTGGGTAGTTAAATCTGGGTGGTAAACCTACTTTACATCTTTCTTTGGATGAAGTTTTTAAAAAAGCAATGGGGAAAAAAGGTAGGCATTGCTATAACTTTCCCTACCTCATTGTTCAGAAAAGAGCACATTGGAAGGGCCTATTTCATGTTTCGTTCTGTAGAATATCTTAAGGATTCCTCATAAGGGGACCTCAAGAAATTTTCAAGATTATGTTACTTATATATTGACTTGATCATACTATTGGGCGTTACTTGGATTCCTACCTGTGGCCCTTCTGCTACAGCTTCTTTTCCTCCCCATTCTCCAAATCTGGCTTTAGGTAAAGTTGAGCATTCTTACCCTCCCATAATAACTTTTCCTGAGATGGTTCTAAAATTCTTCCCTCCCTCCACACGGCACTATTTTATTTCAAGCCAACAGAAAAAAGCCCCCAGTTGCAAAAATAAGAAAGCTGACCCAGCCGTAGGCGAATCCTAGGTGACCCTTCAATTGATCTGCTATTCTTAATTCCCCTCCCAGATATGGATATAAAATCCCGGAAGAAGCTGTTCAAGAAAGTGCGTGGGAAGGAAGTCTATATGACTGTGGCGTACAGCAGGGGTCACCCTGTCCTGCCTCCCCGACTGCAGCACAGCATTACGTCAGATCGATCACCTTCGGTCCACTGCTCCCAGAACGGACATATAAATCCATACGAGCATTACCACTTTCAGAATTCGCAGCGGACTGGCCGGGGATATGGGATGCCAAGGTAAGGAGATTTGTAACCCATCCAGCATGTTTCATGATTAGGCAGTTCAGAGTTCGCTGCACTGCTGATTTCATCATGATTTTGGCCATAAGCATCGTGCTGATTTGGGTATAATAGTGTCATAGGGTGTCCACAGAGCTGCACAGAACTTTCAATCACTTCTCCCTGATTTCTGCAGCCTTTATTCCCACACACTTCATTTGCAGGTTAAAAAGGAATATTTTAACTGAGGCGTACAGGTAGTCCTCAGTTAACAGCCATTTGTTCAGCAGCCAAAGTTATGACAGTGCTGAACATGTAGACTTATGGCCTGTCCTCAAAACTCTGGCCATCACAGCATTCCTTGCGGTCACATGATGTCTCGCTTTATGACCATGCCCACTTAGCGATGGAGTTCCTGGTCCCTATTACCGTTGTTAAGCAAGGACTACTTGTACTAGTGAAAGGAAGAGTGATGAAATTTGCAGAGGGAATTTGGTAGCCTGCTAAACTATAATTAGCATTGTTTCAACAACTAACTTGCTTGTAATTTGGGTTCATACACTACCTTCTTCCCAACCTGTGTTCTGTAAATTAATGCTGTCTCCAAACTGGGAGAGCTTTTAATTTAAAGAAGTAATCAAAATAAGTTGCAATTTGATCTAGTTCCCTCCCCCCCCCAAACTAATATGATCTACTCAGTGGCAGCACCTGGTGACCTTTATTTGTCTGGTAAACTCAGGTACTTAAGAGACCATCTAGGAAAATTCAGAGCTGCCAACAATGTTGGGAAGATGAAAAAATACTTTGTTGCCAAGAAAACCATATGGATGGTTGTCCATCAAGGCCTCAGGAGTCAAGATGGACTCAAGGGTGCTCTTGACTTTTACTTAAGTGAGATTTAGTCCAGTTCATGTGTGATTAAAAAGTAACACGCTGGATGGAAGAGAAAGGCAGGAACTTGCACAATTTGCATGCTCTTCCACAGTGCCAAATGACAGCTGTGCCTGAAATCCTTTGCAGCATGTTCATTCACGGACATCTAGACAGAGGTACTTGAATGGTGCTAGTTAAGAGTCCACCTTGAGACTTCTAAATTCGTAGTTACTTTGCTTTTTTATCCTTTGAAATGTAGGGGATCTGCCCGATTTATAAACAGGAACAACATGACCGGGCCAGAAATAGCATTTTATCCTAGTCCAGGAAAGAGATGTTATCAGAGCTATGATAACTTCTCGTATAGATCACGGTAAGTAATTGTAACCATAATTGTTTTCATGCAATTCAGTAGGCGATCGATGTTATTCCCTGTCTAGGGTCAGCTGACTTCAGTGTTCAGATCTTCTCTTGGTGAACAGATAACGCTGGGAGAAATTTTTGAAACTGCCTTATACTGAGTTGGATGATTGGTCTGTTAACTTTCTCCAACCGTTGTCAGAAGAAAAAAAAATTCCTTAGCCAGGTTTCATTATGACCTTTATATGCCTGGGATAGAACCTGTGAGTTCCTGCCTGTAAAATACTTTTCTGTGGTTGCATGAGTTCCTCTAAGCTCTTCGGATCCAGGGGTGCACCTTTTTGTATCCGGGGAGCAATATTAAACAGTTTCCAACTAAAACTTTTTCCAGAGCAGCTAAAAATTGCTGCCATTTTAGATTCTAAGCAGTTGCTTTGTGGATTCGGGATTCCCGTGCACGTTATGTGAATCTTATTGTGGGATTGAAAAGTGACAGTCTGATAACAATCGTGCACAACAATTCGTGTTCATTGATAGTTGCAGTTGTAGGCATTTTCTTCCAAATGTCTCAGGCTTAGGATATATGGTGGTGATCGTGACATTTTAACTTGTTCATCCTTCTGGAAGTTCATACAGCCGAAGTCGCAGACAGATGCAATGTGTAAATAAAGAGTGCCAGTATGGATTTTCACCTGAGAATGGGGAGGAACCTCAAGGTTTAGAAGAAACGATCACTTTCTATGAGATTGAAGAAGGGGACGATACAAGTTTTCCTGCTTTGCCTGTAAGTCCTCGAGCTGAATTAAACAGAAAAAATGCCAAAATAAATCCTTTACAGATAGGCGGCAAGGCGCGGGGGAGGAATTGCAAGAGGAAAGATCATAGAAATGCATTCATCATTAAATGATGGACCAGATTAGCATTTTGTTATAGGGACTGAGGACTTGCTGAGCTCTTCATTTTTCATCATTGTCATCCATTATGTCCAATGCTACCTACGTTCCATGTGTTTTCTAAAATGGTTGTACCTAAGACATACTGTACATTCAGAAGAATGATCTGGTTACTGCCTTGGAACTACAGTTTGGAAGAACTAGAAAAGCTTCAAGGAAAGTTAGTCAAAAAGAGTAGGCGGAAAGATGGGGTCTTGGTGTCTGTTGCTTTTTTAGCTTGGAGCGAAGGCAGACACAGGAGGTGTTGAGGAAATGCTGTTGCCTTCTCGTCATTCTAAGCGTGCCACTTGTGGAATACAGAATGCTAGATTAAACGGCCATTGAGTTAATCCAGCGGGCCATTAGGACTAATCATCAGGTTTGGTTAAATACAGTTCCAGATCCCCGTTATGGGAAGAGATCATTCTGCAGAGATGAAATATAATTGCAAAGCATCAGAATTTAGACTCTCAATTTTGTTCATGGGATTACAGTGGTACCTCTAGTTATGAATACTTACGAATTTTTCGAGATACGATCAGCTCCGGCCCCAAAAATTTACCTCGACTTGCGAACTCGCCTCGACTTGCGAACCGGATCTGCGGCCATTTTCTGCCCGTTCCACATGGTCTGCGGTCATTTTCTGCCCGTTCCACGTGGTCCGTGGCCATTTTCCCGCCCGTGCCACTTGGTCTGTGGCCATTTTCTGCCCATTCCACGTGGTCCGCGGCCATTTTCCCGCCTGTTCCACATGGTCCGTGGCCATTTTTCCGCCCGTTCCACGTGGTCCGCGGCTGTTTTTCCGCCCC